TGATAATTTAAGAAACTTTTTTTTTTTTTTTTTGCTGCTGCATGCTATGGACTGTTAGCATCCTCTTTATCATTGAAAAAGTGGTCATTAATGCCTTTAAACCTAATCAGATCAGAGAACCAATTCCAGATAACCCAGAACCAATTCAGGGAATCTGTCCTCATGGTTCTGTTCCTCTGGAAGCACTTCTAATACCAAATTCTGTATCAGTCAAGGTTCAATCAGAGAAGCATAACTACCAGTTGTGGTGATATTTTGAAATATGTATTTGAGGGGCCAGCCTGTATTTGGGAGAGTGTGGTGCTGATAACACCAAATCAAGAGTTAAGATCCCCTTACCAGACATCTTTTAGGAAAAAAAAAAAGAAAAGAAAAGAAAGAAATATGTATTTGGTCTTCATCCCCATCTCCTGGCATACAACTCCTAAAATCCTTAGAATTTCCAAACCTCCAAATCCCTCCCAACTCCCCATAGCTTCAGGACCGGGACTGGTCACAGACCAAGGTGGGACTGAAAGTCCCTCCCAATAGAGAGGGGCAGGAGGTTAAGTTGATCACCAATGGCCAGTGATTTAATCGGTCATGCCTTTGTAAGGAAGCTTCTCTAAAAACCCAACAAGCCTGGGTTCACAGAGCTTCTGGACAGCAAACAAGTGTGTGTTTTTGCTTCTACTTGCCAGGAGAGTGGGGGCATCCCAACTCCCCAGGGACAGAAGCTCCTGTGCTTGGAACCCTTCCAGACCTCGCCCTGTTTCTCTCTTCACCTGCCTGTTTATTTGTATCCTTTAAACTATCTTTGTAATAAATGAATAAACGTGTTTCCCTGAGTTCTGTGAGCTGCTCAGCAAATTACTTAGACCCAAGGAAGGGGTTGTGGGAACCCCAGTTTATAGCCAGAAAGTCAGAAGCACAGGTAAAATAACCTATAGGTTATGACTGGCATCAGATGGGAGGTGCTGGCTGGTTAGTTAGCTCAGTTGGTTAGAGCACAGCCTTATTAATATCAAAGTCACAGGTTTGGATCCCAGTGAGCCACCAAAAAAAAAAAAATGAAGGTGAAGGGGATGGTCTTGGGGACTGAGCCATCAACCTGTGGGATGGGCCGGCCCGTAGCTCACTCGGTAGAGTGCGGTGATGATAACACCAAGGCCACGGGTTCGGATCCTATATAGGTTATTAATATCAAAGTCACAGGTTTGGATCCCAGTGAGCCACCAAAAAAAAAAAAAATGAAGGTGAAGGGGATGGTCTTGGGGACTGAGCCATCAACCTGTGGGATATGACACTATCCCCAGGTAGACAGCATTGGAATTGGAATTAGAAAGTACCTGGCTGGTGTCCGTTGCAGAATTCGTTGCTTGGTGTGTGGGAGAGTATAGTGGGAAAAATGTTTTTCCTTCACTCAGCAGTGATATATATAAAGGGATTTACTGTGTAGTTATGACCTTAAACAATTTTGGAACTGGCTAAACAGTCCATGTGAAGCTGTTGCTTAAGTTTCTATTGCTGGAGTCTGAAGTCAGCAGGGCAATAGTTGGGAAGGAAAAATAAAGTGGAATCTACAAGGATGAGCTGGAACCCAAAAAGATAGATGGGAAATTGAGTCATTCTCAGTGCCTCCCAACTTCAATCATAGAGATCAGGATAATCTGGCACCCTATATCATGGAGCTAAACAACACCTGGCCCTGAAGCCAGAGAATCTAAAGAAGATCTAGAAGGAGCTGAAGGGGCTGTGGGCCTGGCAGTTGCCCCAAAACAGCATGGTGAGCCAGCAGATAAACAATATGAGTATGTAAAAGCTGTAACAGTGCCTGGTGCTCTACACCAAGTCCTCAATCTTCTAAATGTAAAAAGAATACGGCTGCTGCTGCTTCAACTTTCACATTCCATATTTCATGCAAAATGCCTCCTCTCATGAGCCAAGCTTACCCAGAACTATTTAGGGAAGGGAACTCTGGGAAGCATAGTCACAGCTTAGCTAAATTTATATAAAACAAATCCCCGATAGATTTATAATGGTTGAGAGCTGAAGGGTAACAAGTTGAGGTGAGCCAGAGAAAAGTTTAAACAGGGAAGTAATATAGTTAGATTGGCAGTTTAGAAAGATGCCTACTTTACAGAAAGATCAGAAACAGGCAATATAAAACTGTTTAGGGATAAACAGAGGAGCAAACTATAAAGATAAGGAAAAAAACTTATCATAAAACTCAGCACAGTGGTTAGCTATGGAAAAGAGAGAGCAGGCTATGATCAGAAAAGGAAACCTGGGAGGTTTCTAAGATGCCTAAAGTTTTCTGTTTCTTTATTCATAATTACAGGTGTTCACTCTACAACTGTTTGTTAATCTGGTCATTTAAGATTTATGTGCTGTTCTTCATGCACATTATGAGTATTTCACCATGAAAAAACTGTTAAAAGGAAAAAGAAAATGCCTAGAAATGATTTGCAAAGAGGAGAAAATAAAGACAGAGAAACCAATTAGACTATGAGTCAGATCTGAATTAAGGCATTGGCAGTGGAAATAGATGGATTCAAGAAATATTAAGGACTCAGCAACCAAGTGATTGGGGAAAGTAAGGAAGAGGAATCAAGGATGATCCTCAGGTTTCTGGTTCATGCAACCAGATGGAAGGTTCTGCCTTTCACTAATACAGAGACTGAAGAAAAGAGCAATTTTGGTGGGAGGATGAGTGCATGTTGATCAAACAATAATCGCTAACATTTAATGAGTGCTTATGATGTACCAGCCACTTTAATTGCTTTATATGTGAGGAGTCTTCAAAGAGTTCGTGCAAAGGTTCGTATTATCTTTTAATTCTATTTTTCCATGAACTTTTTAAAGTACCCTATCATCTCATTTACTCTAATTACTTATTTTGACACCTAATATATTGCAATACAATTCAATACTGACACTAACCACCTGGAGCTGCTAGCAACCGATTGTACAGGTTTAAGAGTATGGTCCCCCACAAGACTGCTTTTACTTCAGATGCCAGCCACACTTTTATTACTATAAACTCAGGTATGATGCAAGAGGCTCATGAATAACAAAGACCCTCCTATTACTCAGGAAATTCCAAGCCTTTTATAAGCTTCATACTGGAAACCCAGGACAAAGACCCACCCTCTGAGGTAGATACTGTTACACTTTTTACAAATAAGGAAACTGGGGCTTTGAAGGGAAAAGTCACTTGTTCACAATCACACGGGCAATCTAATCCAGAACCTGAACTCCTAATTTTATATTATACTGATTGAAATGCCTATGGCGAATGTCTCCAAATTTAGAGGACTCATACCCTAGAAGATGTATAAGGAGATCCATGGGGATGTGGAAAGAAAATATTCTATCTTTAAAAAGCTTTCCTGGGCCGGCCTGTGGCTCACTCGGGAGAGTGCGGTGCTGATAACACCAAGGCCACGGGTTCGGATCCTATATAGGGATGGCCAGTTTGCTCACTGGCTGAGCGTGGTGCTGACAACACCAGGTCAAGGGTTAAGATCCCCTTACTGGTCATCTTTAAAAAAAAATTTTTTAAAAAGCTTTACTAATATATAGATTGACCATAGTACATTTATTTACATTATTTATAAATACATGAAGATTTAGGGGGGCATGTTCAACATATTTACTTATTCATATAAATTTGGAAAGTTTGACAATCACCTACCTATGGGCAATAATGAATATATGGGTTTCATACTCAGAATAGAGATCTAACCTGCTTACCAGTAACACAGGTGTGAATGAGGTGAGAAAAGAGTTGAGATCAGAACTTCAGGGAATACCAACATTTAGGAGGTAGGCCAGAGGTAAGAATTAGCTGTGTCTAATAAGCCAAAGGACATGGATATGAGCCCTATAATTCTCTCTGAATCTGAGAATGTTATTTCCATAGATACTACAAAGATTCAAGTAAAAACATTTTTTGGCTTAAATTTTTTGCATCAATTCTAGTTACACTATTTCATTAGAAAATTATGTAGATTTCTACCTCAATTTGCTATCATGTTGTGATATGAGAACTAATTTACCCTTTATCTTCTGTGCACTCTATGAAGATAGTAACAAGTAGTATTAGAATGAAATTAGAAGGAAAGTGAAGGGCTGGCCCGGTGGCGCACTCAGTAGAGTGCGGCGCTTAGGAGCGCAGCGGCGCTCCCGCCGAGGGTTCGGATCCCATATAGAGACCGGTCTGCTCACTGGTTGAGCGCGGTGCGGGCGCGACACTGAGGGTTGCAATCCCGTTACCGGTCACAAAAAAAGACAAAAAAGGAAAAAAAAAAAAAAAAGAAGGAAAGTGAAGTAAAGGATTTCATGTGGACCATCTACTAGATAGCTAAGAACTTGATAATTGAGATGGGAGGGGTGGGGGGAATGTGAGAGTTGTAGTTTAAATCTGACTTCTTAACTTGCTTTTGGGTGTGAACATTTGCTGACATCCCTGGAATTCACTGAAACAGCTCCTCTCTTCCTCAGACTATTTCCCCTAGTACTTCCTCCTTTCTACATGGCCTTAGGACCTTGTGGAAGCCATACATATCTTCTACCTAAACTCATAGCTAACTTACCCACTAAACTGTAAATCCCTAGAAGCAGGGATTACATCCATTCACCTTTGTTTTCCTTGGGATACTGAACACAGTAGGCACTAAATAAATGTTTGCTAAATTGAGATGCCTATTATTTTTATGTTAATATCTGGTCAAATTTACTCACTTTCTTAACATTTCACCAGATTTTAAAATTCACACTTTAGGGTGGCATAGTAATATCATAAATTCAGATCGATACTGATCCAAAGGACTGTTAGGGTTTTTGTTTTTGTTTTTTTCTGGAGTCACATGTGTGATCTGAGCCAAAAATTAATAAGAGGGAAGGCTTTTGTTTTTTTATTTTTAGATCATGGGCTAATTTCAGAAAAATACCAATGGAAGAAATTCAGTGTTTGTTTCCCATGGATATTCTATTGATATATGTCTTTTTGTTTCTAGGTGTTCTCTATTCTATGTATAAGGATTACATTAGACCTCGATTCTTCAGTGTGTCCAAAAAATGAAGCTATATCCTGGAAGCAAGAAAGACAAGAGGCTTCTGAAAACTATTTATTATGAAGAATAAATTTTCAAAATGTAGCAAATTTTACTGAACAAGTTATCAGACAATTCTCATGGCTTTTGTATACTAAGTCTCAATGTTTTAAGAAGTTGATTTCTAAGTCAACAAATATTCAACTCAGAAATGTCCTTTGTTGATGTCTTTCAGAACATAGGACATGATTTATTGACTTAAAAAAATTTTACTTTTGGCTGGCTAGTTAACTCAGTTGGTTAGAGCATAGCCTTATAACACCAAGGTCACAGGTTAGGATTCCCATACCGGCCAGCCGCCAAACAAAACAAAAAAAATTTTTCTTTAAATTTTTTAGTTAGAAGTGGAAAATAAGGCCGGCCCGTGGCTCACTCGGTAGAGTGCGGTGCTGATAACACCAAGGCCACGGGTTCGGATCCTACATAGGGATAGCCAGTTTGCTCACTGGGTGAGCGTGGTGCTGACAACACCAAGTCAAGGATTGAGATCCCCTTACCGGTCATCTTTAAAAAAAAAAAAAAAAAAAAGAAGTGGAAAATAATCTATATTATGCCAGACCAATCTGAAAATTAATAGCTAACTATATAGTGGTTACAAAAAACTTTTCTATGTCCATGTTAAATGTGATGCCATATTCATCTCCCCAAATAGGACAAAGTAAATAAGATTTCATTAAGCACTTTTTTAGATTGGGTAATAATTAGATCAGAAGAGAACAGTCATGTTGTTATTCAAAGTTGGTTCACCACTTTGCACCTCACTCTTATATAGAAACTTGACTATTTTAACACAAACATAAACGTTTAACACTTAAATATCTGTGTATTCATTTTTATACTTCTTCGAAGTATTTCTAGGAATACAAAGGTAAACTGCTAACAAATCCCTTTTCCCCCAGATGGCAAAAAGGATTTAGTCCAGAAGTGTTAATGCTAATCTGGTATGACACTATTGAAAGCACAAGAAACCAAGATAGGTGTTAAATATTAAGTATACTTGTGGCCTCAAACTCCTCTGTAACTGCCGTAGGGTTCTAAAAAATTAACTATACTTTATTGAAGTGATAACTGTTTTGACCTGGGCTTACTCTCAAAGACTCGAAGCCTAGGAAAGGAAAAAAAAAAGTTGTTACTGTAATAAAATCAAGAATATAGTGTCTGCACTGTAAGATGATTTGTGACGGGTATTTCCTTTTCCTCAGTGTTTCCTGTAAAGGAGAGTTACCCTGACAGAAAAGTGAAGTCCAGTATTTGAGGAGAGAGATGTAGGAATATCTGAAAATATGTCTGCATTCTAGATGTTAACCCACTGTTCTGTGTATTGTATGCACTTTTCTCCAAAGTTAATAATTTAAAAAGTTGTCATTTGTACATATCATTGAAGCTCTTCCAGTGCTACTGAGTACACATATCTTGGTCAACACAGTTCTCATTGGAAAATAGGCAAGGAAAGAATCCAACTACTTTATTCCTTTACAGTAAATATTCCAGCACCTGGATCTAATATGTTCCATGAAGGTCAGGAAAATTGAAGACAAGATGGCACAGAAATAAGTGATCCCTTCATGTTGATCAAACAATGAAAAGATAAGAGGGTACTTCAAAAAGTTCATGGAAAAATAGAATTAAAAGATAGTATGAATCTTTCCAGGAACTTTTTGAAGACCCCCCTCATATTTCTAACCAGGCTACTAGAAAGATTCCACTCTCTCAATATATACTCAGCATTAAAAATACATGGGCCGGCCCGGTGGCGCACTGGATAGTGCGCCGCTTGGGAAGCGCGGCGGCGCTCCCGCCCGAGGGTTCGGATCCCACATACAGACTGGTTCCCGCTCACTGGCTGAGCGCGGTACGGCCGGTCTCAAAAAGGACAAAAAAAAAAAAAAGATCTATGAGTTTTGGGCCGAGCCTGTGCGCACTCAGGAGAGTGCGGCGCTGGGAGTGCAGCAGCACTCACGCCTCAGGTTCGGATCCTATATAGGGATGACCAGTGTGCTCACTGGCTGAGCGCGGTACGGCCGGTCTCAAAAAGGACAAAAAAAAAAAAAAGATCTATGAGTTTTGGGCCGAGCCTGTGCGCACTCAGGAGAGTGCGGCGCTGGGAGTGCAGCAGCACTCACGCCTCAGGTTCGGATCCTATATAGGGATGACCAGTGTGCTCACTGGCTGAGCGCGGTACGGCCGGTCTCAAAAAGGACAAAAAAAAAAAAAAGATCTATGAGTTTTGGGCCGAGCCTGTGCGCACTCAGGAGAGTGCGGCGCTGGGAGTGCAGCAGCACTCACGCCTCAGGTTCGGATCCTATATAGGGATGACCAGTGTGCTCACTGGCTGAGCGCGGTACGGCCGGTCTCAAAAAGGACAAAAAAAAAAAAAAGATCTATGAGTTTTGGGCCGAGCCTGTGCGCACTCAGGAGAGTGCGGCGCTGGGAGTGCAGCAGCACTCACGCCTCAGGTTCGGATCCTATATAGGGATGACCAGTGTGCTCACTGGCTGAGCGCGGTACGGCCGGTCTCAAAAAGGACAAAAAAAAAAAAAAGATCTATGAGTTTTGGGCCGAGCCTGTGCGCACTCAGGAGAGTGCGGCGCTGGGAGTGCAGCAGCACTCACGCCTCAGGTTCGGATCCTATATAGGGATGACCAGTGTGCTCACTGGCTGAGCGCGGTACGGCCGGTCTCAAAAAGGACAAAAAAAAAAAAAAGATCTATGAGTTTTGGGCCGAGCCTGTGCGCACTCAGGAGAGTGCGGCGCTGGGAGTGCAGCAGCACTCACGCCTCAGGTTCGGATCCTATATAGGGATGACCAGTGTGCTCACTGGCTGAGCGCGGTACGGCCGGTCTCAAAAAGGACAAAAAAAAAAAAAAGATCTATGAGTTTTGGGCCGAGCCTGTGCGCACTCAGGAGAGTGCGGCGCTGGGAGTGCAGCAGCACTCACGCCTCAGGTTCGGATCCTATATAGGGATGACCAGTGTGCTCACTGGCTGAGCGCGGTACGGCCGGTCTCAAAAAGGACAAAAAAAAAAAAAAGATCTATGAGTTTTGGGCCGAGCCTGTGCGCACTCAGGAGAGTGCGGCGCTGGGAGTGCAGCAGCACTCACGCCTCAGGTTCGGATCCTATATAGGGATGACCAGTGTGCTCACTGGCTGAGCGCGGTACGGCCGGTCTCAAAAAGGACAAAAAAAAAAAAAAGATCTATGAGTTTTGGGCCGAGCCTGTGCGCACTCAGGAGAGTGCGGCGCTGGGAGTGCAGCAGCACTCACGCCTCAGGTTCGGATCCTATATAGGGATGACCAGTGTGCTCACTGGCTGAGCGCGGTACGGCCGGTCTCAAAAAGGACAAAAAAAAAAAAAAGATCTATGAGTTTTGGGCCGAGCCTGTGCGCACTCAGGAGAGTGCGGCGCTGGGAGTGCAGCAGCACTCACGCCTCAGGTTCGGATCCTATATAGGGATGACCAGTGTGCTCACTGGCTGAGCGCGGTACGGCCGGTCTCAAAAAGGACAAAAAAAAAAAAAAGATCTATGAGTTTTGGGCCGAGCCTGTGCGCACTCAGGAGAGTGCGGCGCTGGGAGTGCAGCAGCACTCACGCCTCAGGTTCGGATCCTATATAGGGATGACCAGTGTGCTCACTGGCTGAGCGCGGTACGGCCGGTCTCAAAAAGGACAAAAAAAAAAAAAAGATCTATGAGTTTTGGGCCGAGCCTGTGCGCACTCAGGAGAGTGCGGCGCTGGGAGTGCAGCAGCACTCACGCCTCAGGTTCGGATCCTATATAGGGATGACCAGTGTGCTCACTGGCTGAGCGCGGTACGGCCGGTCTCAAAAAGGACAAAAAAAAAAAAAAGATCTATGAGTTTTGGGCCGAGCCTGTGCGCACTCAGGAGAGTGCGGCGCTGGGAGTGCAGCAGCACTCACGCCTCAGGTTCGGATCCTATATAGGGATGACCAGTGTGCTCACTGGCTGAGCGCGGTACGGCCGGTCTCAAAAAGGACAAAAAAAAAAAAAAAGATCTATGAGTTTTGGGCCGAGCCTGTGCGCACTCAGGAGAGTGCGGCGCTGGGAGTGCAGCAGCACTCACGCCTCAGGTTCGGATCCTATATAGGGATGACCAGTGTGCTCACTGGCTGAGCGCGGTACGGCCGGTCTCAAAAAGGACAAAAAAAAAAAGATCTATGAGTTTTATATAACCTTAAAACCCTACCCAAACTTGTATGTTCAGGTTTACATAAATATATACGTGTGTGTGTGTGTATATATATATATACACACACACAGATATATTTAAATCCCATAAGTCAAGAAACAAGCCCATAGGGGTGTGTGGCCATCACAGGCCAATCATTTAACTCTGGCTATGGTGACTGTTGTGAGGTGGGTGGGTCTCTGACCTACATATAGCTGTCAGCTTTTCAAACCCTTCCCATGAGGGAAACTTTGCCTTTTGTTCAAAACATTTGAACAAAACTCACCTCTGAATTAACAGAGATATGTTAACAGGATACTTGGCACAAAAGGGCTTAGGGAAAATGGTTCTGATATAGTCTCTCAGGCTGTCAGTCATCTAGACACAAGTGAGTCAGCATCCACAGTGTTCAGAAGGTAGAGTTCAGGCTGAGCTGTCAATCCCAGGTGGTACTAAGAATAAAAAAGATGAAAAAGGGTTAGACTGATTTTCAAGTATTTCAATATTGAAATTGGCACTTAGTTATCTATAATGAGCATATCAGTTTAGACCTTTTCCAGTACTGCTATATTGATTTTTATTTCAGAAAAGTAATGGCTTATGGATACATGAATGGTTTCTGACGTATAAATAATAGCTAGGCATGGAGATGGTTGAGGATTGAGATAGGAACAAATGCCCTCAGCAAAATTAGAACTCTGACTATTCTTGTGACACACTCTGCCTCAGGATGGGTGCTTCAGATCAGGATGATAAGAGCAAACGTGCACTGCATGCTTTTGTATTTTAGTGCTGTGTATTAGATATCAAATTTCAAACAGTCTAAATCCTGAGCACTATAATCCTGACCCCATTATCCGTTGGCACCTGAACAGAGAAAAGCCTTTCATTTAGAAACAAAAACATGGTGTGTGCTAAGAGAGAGGGAGATGATTGTGGGTCCCAAATATTTGCCAAGCTAAATCAGAATCGCCTCAGCTGCTTTTTTTTTTTTTTTGGTTTTCACAGCTGTCCAGTGCAGGGAATCAGCTGCATTTAAAACACATTTTAGACCCTGCTCCTGGAGAACTGAATCCAGATGGTTTGTGTTGGGATCTGTGATGTTGTATTTATTTTTACTCTTTTTCTCTCCCCTGAATACACCTTGGGACAATCACTGAGTCTCATTTTAGCCCTACTGTTATTACTTAGGGTTTTAGGAGTGTTATTGCCCCTTGGCACCAACAGCTTGTAAGTTAATGAAGAATGCAGATATAAATCTATGGAAAGAAATGATCCCTATTATAGTGAAATGGAAAAGGCACTGGAATTGGATTCAAGCCCCAACTCTACCACTTCCTATGACCTTGACCATGTCACATATCTTTTGGACCCTTATTCTACTTATTTGTAAAATGGGAATAAATGCTACATTTGAAAATGCCAAATGTACTAATATACTATCTCATGTTAGTTTTCAATAAATATATTTTTTAACACATTACAAATTGCCCTGTATAACCTCACAGGTTGTGTGATGACTGTGTGAAGATAACACAGACCAAATGGTGCCCAAGATAAAACTAACCTCAACTAGTGGGCTTGGAAAATACTATTGGCTTTAGGGCAGGGAAACCAGTCTTCAGACTTCAGCTTGCTTATTCACTTTAGGGTCTTACATCTCAGGCTTTAGTAACTAACAGCAATTATCAGATACACTGACAATTCATTGAAGTCTTTTTCCCAGTGAGCAAATGTGAACTTCCTCATTACATAATAAGTAAGGGCTCCATTATTACAATACATGCCCAGACTGTATTACTTAGATGACCTAATAGATGGGACTCCTTCATTGGAGAAGCATTTCTTCATGTTGTTCTGAGACATTGAGAAATGGGATTAAATGGCACAGGGATAGGCTAAAATACTTTCAGAGGCAAACAGATAATGCAAATAAGTAAATATTAACTATAAGTTTTTAGCTATTGCTAGGGTAGGACCATAGCCCTGCCCATTCTCTACGCCTTCCGAAAGCATTCAAACTAACCTGTTAAAGTTTAGCACAGGCCAAACAAAGTCTACCAGTTGGCAACTTCTGAACTAAAACATATTCTAGCATTAATCAGAGTATTAAGCAAATGTTTTCATGTGTTCATGTTCCTGCTGCTACTGAACACCAAACTTGGTGTCTCGACCCAGTGTGAAGGTGTACTATATATTATTATACAGGATGGTTTGGGAAGGAAAACATGTGCTCTGCTGTTAAGCTACTCAAGTTCAAATGCCAAATTGCCCATTTTTTAGCAATGTGATGTAGGCAAGTTACTTTTTGCCTTTCAGTTGCCTTACCTATATATAGAGACTGATCCTCTTGTTATAATAATTAAATGAGATAATACATGTGCTCAGACCAGGACTAGCACGTAGTAATGAGTTAGTCATTTTTACATTCATAAACTAAGGTGCCAAGAGAACCTGACACATTTAGATTCATTGGTCTTGCCAATGAAGGAGGAAAGGCACACGAGAGGGCAAAGCTACAAAAAAATGTCTCAAATAAGGATCTTTAAATTGTTTTGCATCCTATTTTAGCTCTGAAATTAAATCTAAATTGAGAAAGCTAAATAAGGAAGGACAACATGGAGAACAAAATTCTTCCCAGATTATTCCTACACTGTTACTTACTATTCACCTCCTGTAAGACAGGCAGGGAAAACTTGCAACAGAAAAAAGGAAAATGACACTCTTGGGACAAATCAAGTGCTGCCTTAGATTTTTCCTGTTAAGCATCTGGTAACAGGGCTAGTAGTTCACTGTGCCTGAGCTTCACCTGTTTTCTAATAAGTGACACCAATATTTTATTTATGTCAGCTCTGCCAAAACGCTCATTGGTTTTTTAAGCTAAACAATTTTGGTTTCTCTCTTCAGATATTCACTAATTTTTATTGGCAGCATATACAGAATGTAAAAGCCTACTTCAATGGTGAAACAAGACAACAGATAGAAAAATATTCATCTTATAGTACAGAAAGGAAGAATAAATTTTTTTTTCAAGTTTAAACATGGTAATGTGACCTTTGGCTCTTGCAAAACTATAATAGATATTAGTGTCTTGGTGTCTGAAATTAATCCAAGCCTTCTGAGGACTAAATTCATTTTCTCTATCCCTTCTAAGAAGAGAATCACCAACAGTGAGGGCTTAGTATGTCATTCCAGGTGGTAACTGATGTTTCAGTATTTTGATATCAAAGTAACTGAGACCCTAATAATAGAGTATTTTCAAGGTTTAAAAAAATACCCAGGAAACCAAATTGGAAAAACTTTTTTAATTACAAACCAAGTTTACATATTTTTAAATGGTCACTAAAAGCTCAGTTGTAAACCACTCCTAACACCACTAGCAATACCTCACAGAAGCCAAACCAAAGCTCTTCACCTTTCCCGTTAATTTCCAATATACTGTAGCAGCACAATTTTTTCATGTTACATTTAAGGAGAACAGGAACAAATTTATGTAAAGTACAATTGTATATCCTTAAACATTCCACATCACATAAATGCACTGCCGAAATGCACTGCATATGATGGCACTAGAGGACTTAAATTTCTACACATTGTTTATTGCACCCAAAGTACTGGTTGAAATACACTTTCTCTTTGTGAGGATCAAATGGAATAACGTATGGGAGTGTTTGTAACACTGTAAAATACTACACACATAGTATTATAAAATGCCATTTAACTGAGAAGAAATTTGCCATCATTGCAAGTCACTAATATAACTTTTAAAAGAATGCTAGCAGCCTTTACCTGGGCTCCTAAATGTGAATCTGAGACTCACTGGACCCGCCCACACCCAAGGCAAAGGTAAATGTTACTGTAACATGTTTACAAAGAATTTGTTTTGTCAATTTGCCTTCACCAATTTGGCCAGACAAGAGCTTAAGGTATCAGTCCCCACTATCTTCACAGAGTGTCTTTATGACCAGTTTGGGGAATGATGGTGGTAGGGGGAGAGGGGCAGATATGAGGAGGAATCGTTAGGGGAATTGTCATTCATGATTCTGTGCTGTATTACTTGAGGGGCTAAGAGAAATGTATGGTCAGTGAAGCACAGTAGTTTACTACCTTTAGTGCCTTATAAAAAACAATCTATCCAGTCTGCACTTCTGACTCTGTGCAAAATATCAGTAATAATGACTCTGGGGGCTCAGATGAATGGAGAACATCAATCAACCAGTATTCCAAAAGGATAGCTCCAAAAATGAGACATCCTTCAATGCCATTCCCATTACTGTTTTCACCATGTCAACGGCTATAAAAGACTTCTGATTATTTATCTCCACCAGGCAAATGTGATTTGATTTGAGATAATCCCGGTCTCAAGCTCCATATATAAATATGTCAGAAGTGGCTGAAGTAAGAGCAGCAGCTTCATGCTGAAGACACCCATTTCCTCTGACTCCAAAGCTCCACCATCTGGTCTCAAAGTTTTTCCCTCTGAGAAAATGGCTGTAGAGAGGTAGCCCAGTTCAATCTTGCTGAGACAGAGAACGTAACAACCATAGTGACACCTACTGACTTGCTGAGAGCAAGCGAGCTTTGCATCGGTTATGTCCAGAGCTCCCGAGATTGCCTTACAAGTCATCTTGGGCATGAAGCAGAGTGGTGCATCAGAAAAACATTCTGGTGAGAGGTGGCTTTTAGGAATAAAACAGATGGCTCTTCTCCTTTTGAGTCTTTTCTCCCCACCCCCAAAATCTCATGAGAATGTCAATTCATAAATACTACCATCTTTTTCTATTACCACTCTCCTGAAGGAAGAAGGTGAAGGTTTTACAACTGTATGTGCTCAAGAGTAAATACTATCAGGAAAGCTCTGTACTAACATGGAGGTTATTAAAATCAAGACTCCCAAGAAAATCCTGATAAGCTTTCAATCTCTCAGAAAAATCTTCAGAAGGTGATTAGTAACCCCAACCTACAGATGAATTTTGCTATTCGTCCATTTCTCACATTCTTTAATGCTTTCTCACCCCTTAATTTCCACTGAGAAATTTAAAGTGGAAATAAGTTAAAAGAATCCTGAACCTGACAGAGGTAGTTGTCTCAATTTTATATTTCATATGAATGAAACCACTCTACTTAAAATTTTTTTATAATTGAAATAATAAAAAGGGTATGTATGCATAAGAAAAGAATTTCTCAGCCTTTTAAAATCCATTTTCTTGCGGGGGCGGGGGGGGGGTAGGCTGGCTGGTACAGGGATCTGAACCCTTGATGTTAATGTCATACCGTGCTCTAACCAACTGAGCTAACTGGCCAGCCCAAAATCTATTATCTTTTTCGGGGGGGAGGCTGTTGTCTGGTATGGGGATCCAAACCCTCCATTATCTTTTTTTATTTTTTTATTTTTAAAAGATGACCGGTAAGGGGGTCTTAACCCTTAATTTGGTGTTGTCAGCTGGGGGGGAGGCTGTTGTCTGGTATGGGGATCCAAACCCTCCATTATCTTTTTTTTTTTTTTTATTTTTAAAAGATGACCGGTAAGGGGGTCTTAACCCTTAATTTGGTGTTGTCAGCACCACGCTCAGCCAGTGAGCAAACCGGCCATCCCTATATGGGATCCGAACCCATGGCCTTGGTGTTATCACCCCCCCCCTCCCCCGAGTGAGCCACGGGCCGGCCCTTTTTTTTTTTTTTTTTTTTTTTAAAAAAAAGATGACCGGTAAGGGGGTCTTAACCCTTAATTTGGTGTTGTCAGCACCACGCTCAGCCAGTGAGCAAACCGGCCATCCCTATATGGGATCCGAACC